CCCCCCCCCCCGTTCCCCTCCTTCATCCGGACCGGCCGATGTCCTCCTTTGTTCCTTCGACGCCCGCCGCCGTTCTTGCCGCGGTGCTCATCATTAATCGTGGTTTTTTACTATGCGCCTACCTTTACCACGAGCCTATCGCGACGTATGCCGCAAATGCGCAGGCAACGTGAGAGGGGCGTGGATGAGGTTCAGAACGCGGATACAATTAACTCCCCGTGTCTTGTCGGATACCGCGGATCAGCGTGAAATATGTAGAAAAGCGGGATATTCCGGGGGACGGGAAGGGCGAATTCGATACGTGCGGTAACTTTCTGTGTTGTACGCAGCGTTGATTGAACTCGTACGTCGAACAATTCATCAAATATGAGCGAGTCATCGATTTTGCCCGGACGCATAATTACGCTGCGTGAAACACAGCGAGCGAAATGTATAAATATCTTATGAAGTACATTACGTCCCCTAGAAAATATTGACACGCAGCAGTCGCGTAAAGAGAAAACACTCCTCAAACCGAAGAGACGTCAGTCGATTCTGAAAGATACACCGGACTGCGCACGTTTTCTCCGATAATCTCACACTTTTCTACAATCAGTGTCAGTCTAATCCGCTTAACCGCTTAAATTCTCGCGGCGGAAGGACGAAATTAAGTCGCCATCGTTCGCCATTGACCCGGCGACTGCAGAAATTCGCGAATCACATCGTCGAATTGTTACGCGATCGTTCGCAGACGTTTACTTATATTCGGGACAACCGGTCGAACGAGAGGAACAATCATGAAACGGTAAAACCAAAATGGACGAATAGACGTATCCACGAACAAGTTAAATATCCGGTACACGTAAGCCAAACGAATTGCTCATGGTAACGTCAACCGATTCGGCTGAGATAGATACGTTACCGTAAAACTCGAGAACTTTCTCAGACACGTGTTACCCTTCTACGTGTCTCTTTCGTCACAATTTCCCCTTCTAAACGAAGATATCGCGATATAACGCAGCTGGAGCGAGTGAATTCGTTGAGATGCGACGCTACGAAAAAAAGGCCGTGTAAGGCCGCAATTTTGACGCGGCGATCCTTCACATCGTATCGTTCGCGAATCGCGTGTAACGTAGACTCGTCACAAAGGCTGACGCCCGTGCTGGAAGCGAGAGAGGCCCTGACACGCTTCTGCCGCGAACGCGATGTCGATGGCGCTCGCGTTGCTCTGCCGGGTAGCGGCTCGTGCCGCTCTCGCCAAAAACGGCTATTTAATATCTCGCGAACGGTAAGAGATATCGAGATGAAACTTTCACCGGACGATTCAGCACCGTTTGTCATGCTTATTTATTTGGGCGCGGGCCTGATCGCGCCGGTAGTTCTCGCGTGGCGGACGTTTCAAGGTTCGCGCCTCGGGAGCGGAGCGCATGCGTGTTACGGCGAAGCTGACGACGGATTCTTGTCGGATTTTTGCGGAACGGCGCGTCAGGAGCGAACGATCATTCAGAGATGATAATTTGTGCAATTTTTGCGAATTTGTTAAGGGGGGTAATCAGCATCAATGCACGAATTCGTATGATTGCGACGCATCGTCGTGTTACTCGCGCAAGGGCGAACAAGAAATTTGGACGCGCTTTATGATTCGCTAACGTCGAAAATGTCCTCAGCTATCATGGACGTAAGGAGAGAAGCCCGGGGACTTGCCTACCTCTAACTTTTGGCAAAGGAGGCTTGCCCGCTTCTAAATTTTAGCAAGGGGGAGAAACAATTAAATATATACCTAATTATTATAACCTTATCAAGTCTTTTTTACTCAATTTTATCAGTATATGATTGGGTTTACCATAATAAGAATTACCTTGCGCTCACCTAATTAGGACTTTGTGCAATATCAGGTGTACCTGATGATAATTTCTAATCGGGTACCTTGGGTGGTGATTAACCGTAGAACTAAATGCGTGACAAAATTTCACGTGCGTGGGGCGGGAAAAGGCGTGTACCTTCTCGACGTCGTTCTTACCTACAGCCGTGCGCGTACGAAGAATAGGAATCTCTCGGAAAAGAAACGAATTTGCTCGACGCGTCGAGACCTAAAGCGTGATATTCGAACCTGTTATGAATACCAATTTGTATCTCGCATTCTTGACGCGAGTCCGACGAACAATGGACTTTTAGCGTCGGAATGAGAGTTCGTCGTGAAAGTATCTTTCATATGCCGTGCGGCTGCCTCCTCGGCCTGTAACGAGGCACGCGTGATTACTTGTTCGCGAGACTGTACCAGTACCAGCTACACGAGCTGCTCGAAGAGAAATAAACGAAACTCACCGACAGCTATACCTTGAGCCGCTTCCAACCTATGCTTTTCCAACGAATTATCGATTTATCGTCAGATCCTTCTCGCTCTTGTGCGAACTCGTGCTTTCCACGCCGGCGTCGGACACGTGTGTCGGATCGTCCTGTGCGGTCGCGAAACTTTTATCATGCCACGTCACGAAATTATGCAGCTTCTTCGTGCGGCGGCGGCGAACGTTGAAAGCACTTATGACAAGAATAAACAATCACCCGCCGAATCGCGTGGGAACGGGTAACGCCGTGCGATAAAACGACGGATGAAACCGGGGGCGAGAAATTCGCCGCTCTTTAAATATCCTCGTTAAGTATTCCACCGCGGTAATCGCGACCATTTTTCAACGGGGATGCCAGTATTTGTCATCGGCAGAGCGACGAAGCGCGCGGGGAAAGCGTGTATAAATTAATCCGATTAGAGATAAAATAATCTTTTTATAGTGGCGAGTTCGCGCAAACGCGAATCGACTGTTCGTCATCGCGCGCAATTGGCGTTATCGGGGCTGTCTATTCTTACTTATCGATCGTATGGTCAGTCACAAAATGGTTGCAACACTTTTCTGTAATAAATCTCGGAAAGCATCCCGCGCCCGATACCCGAGTCGAAATTTTAGTCCTAGTTTAAGTTTACATCAAATCCTAATTTAGTCCTAATTTAGTTCTACATCAAATTAATTCAAAAATGTTTTATCGCGCTCCTTTGGTGCTATAAGTGCGAAAGCTATTGCCACTTTCTCCACTTGAAGATTTAAGACTATAGAATTGAAAATTTTCACTCAGGTAGGAGAATTTGTTTCTCAGCCGTTCCTCAGAAAATACA